AAGAACATAAAAAAATTGAGGTTAAGTAAGGGAATGAACACAGTGAACATACGGTGAACACAGAAAACATGTAAGAAAAAGTTGATGAATACAGTGAACATGCTGGGAATATGAACTTACAGAGAACATGAAAACATGATAAGGAGAATAGGGAATACAAAGAATGAACAATGGACTTGTGAAGAACATGGAGAATATGACAAAGAATGTAGAAAACATGTAAGTGAAGGTGAAAAACGAAGTGATCTTGTGAGGAACATGAACTTGTAGAGGAACATGAATATTGACAAAGAACACAAAAAATATGGAAGTTAGCATGAATATTGAGTATAAAAGTTGTAAAGAGAACATGTGATGAACGTGAAAACATAGAAAAAATGACTAGAATTTGTAGAGAAAGTAATGAGACTAAGAGAAAGATTACAGAAAAAATGGAGATACTTGTGAAAATATGAACTGAATGGGACTGTGAACATTTGAAGAACATGGAGTGAACATAGAAAACATGGACAAAATGTGAAGAACACAGCTGAATATAGAAAAAATATGCAAATACAGTATGATTATTGAAGGTTTTGATACGTTGGGGATTGATACGTTGGGGATGAGAAGGGTAAAGTAATTACTCTGATAAACAGATAGGTTGGAGACGGACTTGATCGAATATATTTATGTCTGATGATCTATGGCTGAGGAAATGGAGCTTTGCTAATGTCCCGATTAATTTTACTACGTTAGAAAATAAGGTGATCTTAAATCTCAGGTGATTTAGTTGGAAAATAAAGAACTTGCACAAATGAACTAAGCTGGGGCACAAGAGTTGAAACTTGATAACTGAACTGGTTTTTATTTACTATGTCTGAAAATGTAGTTGGGTGATTTGGACTGAGAGTAATGAATTTACAAAAGTGAGCTTGGACGGAGGACAAGAGCTAGAGTTTTATAATTGTTTACTTCATATTTACTATGTCTGAAATACAGAGGGTAAAAATTTCAGGGAAATTGATGGTTTATTTACAAAGATATGAAAGAGAACTAAGGCGGGGACGAGAGCTGGAGCTCAGTAACTGACTTGATCTTATTTACTAACTTTGAAGTATGTCTGCTTTTAATTTTAGGGAAATTGATGGGTTATTTACAAAGATACGAAAGAGAATTAAGGCGGGGACGAGAGCTGGAGCTCGATAACTATTTTGATTTTATTTACGGTGTCTGAAATACAGAGGGTAACAATTTAAGGGAAATTGGACTGTTACTAATGATTTTGTACAAATGAACTAAGCTGGGGACAAGAGCTAGAGTTTGATAATTGTTTGCATTTACTAAACTATGTCTGAAATACAGCGGGTAGAAATTTCGGGGAATTTGGACTGTTACTAACGAAGATACGAGAGAGAGCTAAGGCGGAGGACAAGCGCTGGAGCTTGGTAACTGTTTGCATTTACTAAACTATGTCTGAAATACAGCGGGTAGAAATTTCGGGGAATTTGGACTGTTACTAACGAAGATACGAGAGAGAGCTAAGGCGGAGGACAAGCGCTGGAGCTTGGTAACTAAATTACTGTATTGAACTACGTTTGAAATATGATTATTTTTAAATTTTAGAGGGATTGGAATGTTAGTATTCATTATATGACAGGGGACTAAGGTGGGGGAACGTGAGCTAGAACTTGCTTACTAACATGATTTATTTGTGTAAAACTGACTTGCTTAATGAAAAGGAGAAAACATACGATGTTGGAAAATAGTTGAACTGAACTGAATGAAAGGAGAGAGAGAGAGAGAGAGAGGAGGGACGGTCCAGATATTACGGATAAGATAAGATAAGATTAAGAGCCGACTGGCTGGCTTGCTGGCTGACGTCTAAAGTAAATACAGGTGAGGCGACAGATTGCGAGTCAAGGGGGGGAGGGAGGGGGGTGTGATGTACGAGACTTGAAAACAATGACTTATACAGATAACTTTCTAAATTTACATGAATAACTAAGGCTTACATAGACGATATTTGTAAGTTGAAAACAGGTAAAACATGTCCGTAGAGTTCTCCTGGAAGCCCTAAAGTGCTAAACACGTTATTTGAATTTCTCCCATAAGGCTTTAACAAACTTCTAAGTCTCGGAAATTATTTTTTCTCATAAGAAATCCATACTTCTAAAATCTGTGACTGCCCAAATTCGCCTGAAAAACCCTGGCTCACAAACACGAATTTCTAAATTTACCTGAAACCCTTGGGGCGCACAGGGGATATTCTAAATTTACCTGAAACCCTTGGGGCGCACAGGGGATTTTCTAAATTTACCTGAAACCCTTGGGGCGCACAGGGGATATTCTGAATTTACCTGAAACCCTTGGGGCGCACAGGGGATATTTGACCTGAAAAAAAAATATCACCTGTGAGGCGCCTTCCCTACTACTACTGGTACTCTTGACTCCCGTCTGTTAGGTAATTCTTTACCCAGAAACTCAATCTGGCCAACCTGCTCTGTCTTGTCTTATCTTATTTTAGTTGCCTTATCATAAAACTCCAGTAGGTTCGTGAGACATGAATTCCGTTCAATAAAGTCTCGTTGATGTTTACTTACCTGATTACATCAACGTCTGAATTCGTCTGAATTCGTTTCTTCGTCCTGAAACGTTTCTTACGTCTGAATTTAGCTGTTTGCCCGTTTGGCCAAAAACTGACGTAATTTGAAAAAAAAGAAAATAAGTTTCGTATTTTTGTTTTCCAAAACAGTAAGTTAAGGCTCCTCTGGTAGGTTAGGAGGACAGGGAATTCACCTAAAGTTTCAAAACGTCATGAAAAACGTTAATTGAAAGTGTCCTCTCCTAACCTAACAGACTAAGCTGGAGGATCCAAACAGAAAACGGGACAGACAGTACATCACTTTCGTTAGCCGATTTCATTTCAAATTACGTCAGTTTTTGGCCATAGCGCGCATACGAACGAAAATCGACGTTATTTTGAGAGGACGGGTTGCTGTGTGTTATGGGTGAAAGTTCCTTCGTTCTTTACCGAATTTTTGGCTCTTCCTTCCTCTGTGCTCTTCCACCTTCTTATTCCTACCTTTTCCTGTGCCCATTCCTCCCGTCTTGCCTTACACAGTTTGTCTTTCTCCATGTCCTTCCCCAAACGTTAGGGTTAAGCTGTTTAATTTTCAAATTAACGATCGGCTGCGGCGTTCAGCTTTTGAAGGATCAGGTTATCAGACTCAAGACAATTGTAAAATATCTTAATTTACATTTCGAAATGTTTGAAAACAATTGGTAATATTAAAATAGTTTTTCCTAAAGATTTTTAGCTGCTTACACTATTTTGTTTTTTAATGGAAACAAAAGAACTTAAAATTTGATAAACCTAACTTGCTTCCTGTCTCCGACTATGGGGTAACTATTACCAAAGATTTTCATTTCTAAAAGGTTTAATCAGGGTGCTGCTCTATTCAGTTATTTTGAACCAATCTTTATTTATGCAATTTTTAGAAACACATTTAAAACCAATACAATGTGTATGCGGTAAGGTATAGTAATATATGGAGCAGCAGCATGCACACACTCCCCACCGCGTCTGGTGAGGCACTGGCTGGTCCGGGCGACCGACGGAGCCTCCTGTCTCTTGCACTCACAACAGATGTCGGCTGTGCAAATTTTCTTTTTGATGTTAAAGTTCTGCTTTCGATACAGAGGCGGAAAAATAATTCGTTTCTCACAGATGCTGCCGTTTGTGACCAGATTTACCACGAACATGATGCATACATTATAAATATTTTCTTAGCTTTTTAAATTTTTGCTTTGTTCGTAGTCATGTCAAATGTTTTGTTATGGCATTCTTAGCTTGCAGTTAGACAGAAAAAAAGTTTAAGGTAATTTGGAGAGCACTGCTTCTGTTCCTCCGTGAGACGGGACAAGACTGCTGCTGTTGTTCCTCCTGCTTGGGACAGGACAACACTGCTTTTGTTGTTGTTCCTACTCCTTGGGACAGGACAGTGCTACTGGGATTGTTCCCACGTGGCACGCGACAAGGACGCTTCTCTATGGGATAACTTCCCTTTGTATCTTAAGTGGTCTACTGCCCATTCAGTCTCTACTTGATCACATTACAAGGTTTACATATCAGGGAATTTTGTCTTAATTTCAGGCTTGTTTTTTTTTTTTAAACAGCTATTTAAAAAAAAAAGCGACTGTTTTCTAACTGCGTGGAGTCTCGTTTGTGTCTGGCCACGTGGTCTAGATTTAATATTGAATTTCGATGGATTTCCTTTGCCCATTCGTGTTTAGATCATGTATTTGTCCTTTATTGCGTGTGACATTAGTTCGAGTACTTCATCTGTTCTTGTATAGTCACCATTTACTCTCAGTACTCTTTGATGTAATAACCTTTTTCCTTGTCTTTGGATGATATTTATGCAGGCTCTTGTGTATGTCGGTATTCTTGAATGATTTTCTGAGGTGCCTTGGGGGTTATGAATCATAGTTAATAATACTCTCTCTCTCTCTTCACTGATGTACAATACATAAGACTGTTTAGTCGTTTTCCTTCTCAATATTTTTATCTCAAGTATGTTTCTTTTCCAGGCCAGAAGGTTTGCACCCAGCCGTCTATGGCTTTTACCTTGTTGTCCTCCTTCCTGCGTGTTTATTGTGCAAGTTGTCATACCTCTCGTCCTGTCATCTTTAGTTGGGTTGTATCAGTGGTCATTGATATGGAGAAGTTTATTTCCTCATGTCAGTCCCTATATTAGGAACACTATGGTACGCTTCACTGACCCTTGCCCCCCATATACTGACCCCTGCCCCCCCTTATACTGACCCCTGCCCCCCTTATACTGACCCCTGCCCCCCTTATACTGACCCCTGCCCCCCTTATACTGACCCCTGCCCCCATTATACTGACCCCTGCCCCCCTTATACTGATCTCTGCCCCTTATACTGACCCCTGCCCCCCTTATACTGACCCCTGCCCACCCTCACACTGATCTATGTCCTTTGTTTTCCCCACCTAGGGCATGGACGCCAGCGGGGAACCCCTCCTCCAGTTTCGCCTACGAGTGCAGTTCTACGTTGAGACGCACCTCCTTCTCCGGTAAGTGGACCTCCGTACTCTGTACTTTTGTGCCTCCGTGTGGTGCATGATTCTCATAACACACACACGTATACACCCCACACATAACCCTAGACAGTGGTGAAGTATGCAGTACCGGCGCCCTCCCCTCCTCCTATCCCCCCATTCATTAAGCATTACAAAACGAAGGCTGAAAAACTAGAGAGGTTTGCTGCAAGACTGGTCTCAGACTCGAAGGAACTATACTTAAGACTCTTATGTTCGCCCTTCACAACTCTTTACTCGAGTCTCAATTTCGAAGGTCTCGTAACTCACACACTTGAGCGATTTTAAGGCACAGTAACATCTCTTTAAGGGGTTAAGGCAGCAGAGTTAGAGTGTAGTGTGTGTGTGCTTCCAGAGATGGCCTCTCTCGGCTCCACTACTACCTGCAGCTGCGGGAGAACGTCCTCAGCTACAACCAATCCATCAGCGAGGAAGCTACCTTCCTCCTGGCCGCCTACGCCCTCCAGGCAGACCTTGGCGACTTCTGCGAGGACCAGCACCACGGCCACTACTTCGACCCCAACCTCTACTTTCCGCAGTGGGTGAGTGCTATTCTACATGTATGTTGTTTAAGAGTTTTTGACTTGGGTGGGTTATCCTATCGTCAGTGCTTGCCTGTCACACTTATGGTTAGTGTTAGATTATCTCTCCGTGTCTGTGTCTCACTTTCTCTATACCTCCTTGATGTTGTCACCTCATGGACTACGGTACAGGTAATCTGTAAAAAAAAAAATATTCTTTGTTGCAAAATACTGAGCATAAATTATTTAATTCAATAAATCCCTGACTATCTGTAAACCCCTTCTCGATGACCTCTGGTCTATATAAACCCCATAATGTATTAATATAGTCCGTCTGTAATTAAAATACATTTATTGGCACCTATCCATATAAAATCGGTCAAATCATAATCATTATAAACGGTTCTACATTTATAATTTAGTTTACACAAATTTCAGTATATTAAATAATGTCATAAAAAGTAGCATAACACGTAATCAATATTATTTACTGTATAATCTAGATTGTTTTATGTCAGTGATGTAATACCTGATGATGTGATGTAATGATGATATGCAGATACCTGTAATATTGCATGAACTAGGTGTTTGGAGGTAAACTTAGGTTCAACAATTGAAGTTCATCTGTGTAGAGTGAGCCCAGTGATCAGGGACCAGGAGCTGAAGACGATTTGCAGAAAACACCAACTGTGAACCTAGGGATTGAGGGCCAACAACCGGATGACTATTATAGGTCGGGTAGTTAGTGGATGGCTTAAAGTCGAGGGAATGGAGGACCCGGAGCTTGAGCCCAACTCACTAAAAAAGAATCGGTTGTCAAATGTTGCATGACAATGATGTAAATCTGGTCATTCCATGTTCCAGGTCAGTTAGGTGACTGTCCTACAGAATCCCACTTAACCCTGTGTTCGTCTGTCCCCAGTCCTGTGTTCGTCTGTCCCCAGTCCTGTGTTCGTCTGTCCCCAGTCCTGTGTTCGTCTGTCCCCAGTCCTGTGTTCGTCTGTCCCCAGTCCTGTGTTCGTCTGTCCCCAGTCCTGTGTTCGTCTGTCCCCAGTCCTGTGTTCGTCTGTCCCCAGTCCTGTGTTCGTCTGTCCCCAGTCCTGTGTTCGTCTGTCCCCAGTCCTGTGTTCGTCTGTCCCCAGTCCTGTGTTCGTCTGTCCCCAGTCCTGTGTTCGTCTGTCCCCAGTCCTGTGTTCGTCTGTCCCCAGTCCTGTGTTCGTCTGTCCCCAGTCCTGTGTTCGTCTGTCCCCAGTCCTGTGTTCGTCTGTCCCCAGTCCTGTGTTCGTCTGTCCCCAGTCCTGTGTTCGTCTGTCCCCAGTCCTGTGTTCGTCTGTCCCCAGTCCTGTGTTCGTCTGTCCCCAGTCCTGTGTTCGTCTGTCCCCAGTCCTGTGTTCGTCTGTCCCCAGTCCTGTGTTCGTCTGTCCCCAGTCCTGTGTTCGTCTGTCCCCAGTCCTGTGTTCGTCTGTCCCCAGTCCTGTGTTCGTCTGTCCCCAGTCCTGTGTTCGTCTGTCCCCAGTCCTGTGTTCGTCTGTCCCCAGTCCTGTGTTCGTCTGTCCCCAGTCCTGTGTTCGTCTGTCCCCAGTCCTGTGTTCGTCTGTCCCCAGTCCTGTGTTCGTCTGTCCCCAGTCCTGTGTTCGTCTGTCCCCAGTCCTGTGTTCGTCTGTCCCCAGTCCTGTGTTCGTCTGTCCCCAGTCCTGTGTTCGTCTGTCCCCAGTCCTGTGTTCGTCTGTCCCCAGTCCTGTGTTCGTCTGTCCCCAGTCCTGTGTTCGTCTGTCCCCAGTCCTGTGTTCGTCTGTCCCCAGTCCTGTGTTCGTCTGTCCCCAGTCCTGTGTTCGTCTGTCCCCAGTCCTGTGTTCGTCTGTCCCCAGTCCTGTGTTCGTCTGTCCCCAGTCCTGTGTTCGTCTGTCCCCAGTCCTGTGTTCGTCTGTCCCCAGTCCTGTGTCGTCTGTCCCCAGTCCTGTGTTCGTCTGTCCCCAGTCCTGTGTTCGTCTGTCCCCAGTCCTGTGTTCGTCTGTCCCCAGTCCTGTGTTCGTCTGTCCCCAGTCCTGTGTTCGTCTGTCCCCAGTCCTGTGTTCGTCTGTCCCCAGTCCTGTGTTCGTCTGTCCCCAGTCCTGTGTTCGTCTGTCCCCAGTCCTGTGTTCGTCTGTCCCCAGTCCTGTGTTCGTCTGTCCCCAGTCCAGTCCTGTGTTCGTCTGTCCCCAGTCCTGTGTTCGTCTGTCCCCAGTCCTGTGTTCGTCTGTCCCCAGTCCTCGTCCCCAGTCCTGTGTTCGTCTGTCCCCAGTCCTGTGTTCGTCTGTCCCCAGCCCTGTGTTCGTCTGTCCCCAGTCCTGTGTTCGTCTGTCCCCAGCCCTGTGTTCGTCTGTCCCATGTTGTTGTTGTTGTTATAGATTCAGCTACTCGGAACAAGTTCCAAGTAGCACGGGCTATGGTGAGCCCGTAGTGGACTTACCTGGCACAGGAGCGGTGGTCTGTCCCCAGCCCTGTGTTCCTTAAAACCAGCTCTTACGCACCACTTCTCAAAATGTGCACATGCGACAAGCATACCAAAATGGACCTGAGCGTCGGGTTTCCCACAATTGATACAGTTACCAGTTCATGAGCAACATTTGTGTGACTTCAACAATGCCTTAAGAACAAAATTATGGCATATTTATCAATTGTATGCCGTTGCCTATATATTGGGGAGAAGTAAATAGGTCTCGTTCAAGTTTGTGACAATCGGCGCATTGTTTTTTGTCTTAATTTAAGAGCTCTTTTTATTTTGCTAATTTTTTTATGGTGAAGTAAGGAGAGATCTTGACACGTGCATTTGTTGACACTTGATCAGCTGGTGGAGCGGGTGGGCGTGGCCTACGTCTTGGAACACGTGCCACATATGCACCGCGACAATTTGGGGCTGACGAGGGCCGAGGCGCATGCGCAGTACATCCGGGAGGCGTCGCAGCAAGAGGCACCCCACAACCTCCACCTGTACCGTCTGCGGTACAAGAAGCAGGACCCATCGCCTCAAGTGGTCATGGCCATCTGTGCAAGGGGACTTGATATTTATGAGGTACGTGCGTGACTATGTGAAGGAGCACGTGCCTGTTGAGGGGTGGGGGGTACATGTACGTGAGTGTGAGAGGGGGTGCACGTATGTGCGTATGAGAAGGGGGTCTACATGCGTGAATGAGGTGTGCGCGTTTGTTAGCTGTTTAGTGTATCTTAAAGTATGGATGGCGTTGATAATTTAGGCCAAAATATAACCAGGATTAATAGTGTATTTGAATATAAATTTCAAAAGCAAGAGCCCATGCGCGTGCTATGATCCCAAAGGGAAGTTACACGACAGTGGAAAATGCAAGCATAGAGATACCCCCCTCCCCCATGGTAAATATGTGTACTATAACTGTGTGCGTTTCAGGAGGAGCCGGGTCAGTTGCACACGTCGAGAAAGCTCATCTCCAACTTCCAGTGGTCTACCATAGGCAAGCTGTCCTTCGAGGTGAGTACCCCCAGGTGTCCGGCTCTCTCTCCTCCTCCTGCCTCCTAGGAGACCTCCGGGTCTTCGCCTGGGGACGGAGCCAGGCGCATTACACATTGTTTTTATATCTTAATCTGTGTGTCATTATTCTTGCTTAATCTGGTGAGGGAACGGTTGGGCACAGTTCCCTCAGTCTCCTCCTATGAAGACAAGTGTTGTTTAGTCATATTGGCGTAACGCTTTAGTCTGGTAATTAATTTTTTTCCGGTATGTCTAGGTGTAGGTGTCAGACTTGTGGAAGCTCACCTTATAGGTCTAGACTGGTAGATGTTCCTATTTTGGGGCTCTGATAGGAAGGTTTTACTAAACGGGTACACGGTATATTAGACAAGGCGAGTACACTGTATTGGATAATGTGAGTACAGAGTTATTTCTTAATGAATATTCATTGTTTAATGCGCGTGTTTAGGTGTGTGTGTAAGATGGAGGGCTTTGTTATACTATAAATTATCTCCTGTTCATCTATTACAGTTCGTCCATTGATGATTAATAATGTTTTTGGTGTGTGTGTGTGTGTGTGTGTGTGTGTGTGTGTGTGTGTGTGTGTGTGTGTGTGTGTGTGTGGGTGGGAGGGGGGGGTGGGAGGGGGGTTGAGGAAGACAATCAATGTTGGGTTGTGATAAAACAAAGCAATAATTACAGTTGTGGGGGTTTGAAGACCATAGCCCCCCCCCAATATACTGCCCCCCTACAACACCTACAACAACCCCCCCCCCCCTCTATGACTCGTCATAGTAAAGGTATGGTGCCTATAAGATGCCAGCATAGCGTGACCGCCCTGGTCTCTCGGTTATAGCACCGCTCCTGTGCCAGGTAAGTCCACTACGGGCTCACCATAGCCCGTGCTACTTGAAACTTTTGTTTCCAGTAGCTGAATCTAAAACAAAAACAACGTGACTGCCTCGTGGAGAGGACACTCTGCTACTTGGGGAGTAGAAGAACTCCCAGAACCCCATCAACCAGGTATCAACCAGGTATCAACCAGGTATCAACCAGGTATCTACTGCTGTGCTAGCTCCATGATGGTGGACATATCGACTGTGATACCATCCCCACCCTCCCCCCCAAAAAAAAGGAAATTTTTATCCATTGGTAATATATAGATAGTATAAGAAAGAATGCAATAGCCTAACCTCTTCTAGGTATAATATACACAGTTTTAGGCCAGATATGTACAATCCTAGGTTTAATTTACGTAATCTTAACGTATTGTCGTACATGTATGTATTGTACTAGACCTTGGAGGTTAGACTTTTAGAAGTTTAGACGTTTGATTTTGTAACGGGAGTACACGTACTCCGCATTCATGTGCTATCATTTATTAAGGATATGTTAAATACATAGCCACCGCAGCTCCTCACTTCCTGCCCATTCTAAACGTTTTAAATCAGTTTTCTTTTATTACATTTGATTTTGTATTTTTATTTTTCAATATTTTTTGTGTCTTTAGTTTATTCAGTGCATATTTTTTTTCCTTCTTTCTGTAACATGCCTGTGTAAGTACTTTTGTTTTCAGGGGTAAACTTTGGATCAGTGGCTGAACCTTAGCGTAAACCTTTGAACCTTAAACCTAGCGAACCTTTGTAAAGTGGGAAGTATCTGATGGTCTACATCAGTGGTATAGTTGTGTTTTGTTTAGCACAACAGCACACCTTCAACAGTACATAATGCCCCCCCCCCTGCATCTTCCTCACCACTAACACCTTAGTGACTAAGCCGCCACCCGAGACGGCTTAAATGTTTTGTACACTGATATCACTTGTACCTTAAACTACTCGTAACAAGACAAGTTTCTCCTAACTCTAAATGGCTCTGTGAGCCCCCTCCTCCCCCCTCGCCTCAACACGCATAGGAGAATTAAATATCACACCATCGTCACTCAATCATCGAGGGATCAACCTCGCTAACCAAACATCTCGCACACCCCCAAAAAGTAGGAAGAAAAAAATGAGAGCCCTGCTTTAACCATGAATAATGAGGAATCCGCCTCACTCATTAGGTTACAGGACTGGTCTCTGTTACAGCCGCCACCCTCTTGCTGCCTCCACCGTCTGGACACATTGTTCTCAGCAGAGAGACAGAGACAGTCAGTCAGTCAGTCAGACAGTCAGTTAGGGCGCTAGAATAACTGTCCTCAGAGCTACTGCCGTTTCACAGATTTTAATACACAAATGATGTGCACCTTAGATTTTCTGACACTAGATATATTACATTTGAGGAGTCGGTTCCAAGGTTACATGTATATTTTTAATATTTATGGAATTTGATACTTTTGATTGTAATTTTAGACACTGACCGCTGAAGACTTAGCTCTTTAGTGCAGCAGATGTGACGTACTGCCATGCGCAGGTCGGTCATTTCCCCAGTGACCCACGGCGGCCAGTTATAATCAGAGTTCAACAATTTTGTCAGGCATTCCTCCAACCAACCGTGCCGACTCCTCTCCAGAGTCTAGCGATGCCAACATCTCCGTTGATAGGCTGCGTAATGTTGACCATCATGAGTGCACTCATGACGTCTTGGGAGCCACGGAGGCCTATGTTGTCAACGTTGTCTCGTAGCTCTAGTAGACCATCACAAGTCTTAGACCCCATGTTATAATGTTCTTGGCCAGCTTCAAGTACACCTCTACTGGCTGGCTGATTCATGGTAAATTTTGATGATGGTGCTCTGACATTAGCTTATATCCGCAAGTGTTCCTGCTTGCAACTCATTTCCCGCCACGTGACCAACACCATAGACCAATCCTCCACAGCCACCACGTCAGCAGTCGTGTAGTAGATTAAAAATAGAGCAATGATCTCCAATATTCCACGCTCGCACGTTATACAATATTGAAAAACTTCTGTTTTTTAATAGGAACTTGATCTGGAATTTACTGGTTGAAGCATAGTACGGTGACGAAAGAGCTGGGGGGTCACACTGTTCAGTCTGAGAGCAAGCGGACCTCATGGCGTTAGTTTCGTCACATGGCACTGTGATAGTATTGAGACCATGTTATGACTGTCACCATGCAGCCACAATGGACAGAAAATGGTGTACTGTAACATCCGAACTTAATCTAACCTAGCAACCCAAGCATAGAAAAGGTCAATGTTTGTGCAACCCGTCCCCCTTATAGCACGTCGCATTTTGACGTACACTTTACCTAAGGCCAAAAACTGTCGTACTGGAAAGTGGTAGTGGCTCGTGAAATTGACATTCTGACCCGTTTTATGTTTGTGGGTCCTCTGGTAGGGCACTTTAATAGGACAGTTTTTTGACGTTGGGAAGGCTGGCGAGAATGGGCTGGCTTGCGAGCCGCTATGATGTACAGGGTATCATATTTGTGTCCGTTGGGGATTTTTGACGTCAAGTGCGATTGGTGAGGAGATGGTTGGGCCATGACAGCGTGGTACCTACCTTACCTTATGTAAGGTAAGGTAACTTACCTAATACTACATTAGCATGGTCATAGTACTGTGACGTTGTTGCCACTGGTTATTGTACAGTGGATACCCGGGCCATTCTCTAACCATTACCTTCACACATACGCATTTCTCTACCTTCTGCTTTCATCTCCCCTCCTACCGTCTTCCTTCCGCTCACTTTCCCCTCCTGCTCCCCCTATTACTCCTGCACACCCCCTTCTTCCCCCCCCATCTTCCTGCCCATAGTTTGTACTTTTGCCAAGGTCCTCCTGTGTCAATATTTGTCCGTGACCAACCAGGTGGGAGAGGGCGTAGTGGGAGGCGACCAGTGGGGTGGGAGAGAGAGAGCGGGGTAGAGAGAGCGTGGAGGCGACCAGTAGAGAGAGAGAGTGAGGGGTGAGAGGAGAGAGCGTAGAGAGAACGAGAGAGCGTGGAGAGAAGAGAGAGTGTAGAGAGAGAGAGAGAGCGTGTAGAGAGAGAGAGAAGAGAGAGAGAGAGAGAGAGCGTGTAGAGAGAGAGAGCGTGTAGAGAGAGAGAGCGTGTAGAGAGAGCGAGCGAGAGAGAGAGAGAGAGAGAGAGAGAGAGAGAGAGAGAGAGACCCATTAAAATTGAACAATGGGTTCACGACAGTTTTAGTGGCCCATAAATGTAATGAAGACAATTTATAATCGATGCTCAATTCATTTCTCCAGCTTGATCCCACACGCGGTGGGGAGAGATGCGTAAACGAGGCTTGCCAAGGTGGTCGAAACTCCCGCTTCTCCCCTGAGGCAGCATCGCCCTAGACGGCCCACTGTTCCTGACTCCCCATTGGGTTGTCTTACCTATATTTTACGCCCTGTCTTCCTCCTTGTAATTAAAAACAGAAACGTGCATTCCGTCGCGTCGCCAGCTACCAGGTGTTGTGGTGGGGGGGGGGGGGGGGGACGTGAAGTGTGTTGGGGGAGGTGGTGACGGGAAGGTTTGATGGGGCCAAGCGCAGGAATTCTTACCCTTTTTTTACGATTACAGGGCCCCAGTGGGTTACCCCATATGACCCCCTTCATCAGCCTGTCGAAACCACCTCTGGCACCACCAGTCCCATTACGTACCAGTATGACTTCACAAAGTCAGAAGATCGTAAGGATCTTGTCACATTTATAGAAAAACGACAAATCACAAATATATACGCTGGCTTCAGCTAGTGAGATTTGTACTGTTATTTTTGGGCAATCAAAACATGGAATCACGGTAATAGTTAATTCTAATCTAACGATTTTTTTTAGACATAGTCCTAATGTCCCAATTATATGGTTCCCATACCCTCGGGGTATTAAAATAACATAAGAACATAAGAATTAAGGTAACTGCAGAAGACCTATTGGCCCATACGAGGCAGGTCCTATTTATAACCACCCAATCTCATTCATATACATGTCCAACCTACGCTTGAAACAATCAGGGGATCCCACTTCCACCACGTTACGCGGTAATTGGTTCTACAAATACAGTCCTATTACCGAACCAGTATTTACCCAGGTTTTTTCCCAAATCTAAACTTAAACAAAAAACATGAATCTAATAATAATAATATTGTAAGAGTAGCTGATGTACAACAAAAGTAAAAAAAAAATCACTAAAACCGGACATAAATTCCTGGAACAAGTATTAGGGTGTGACGCGAGGCCTGGTGTGTAAGCTTAAGCTGCTTCCGGTAGAAAGTTTGTGGGGGGGGGGGGGGAGGGTTCCCCCGGGGTTGTGCCCCCTGGGGTAGTGCACCCCCTAGTGTTAGGAAAGTGTCAGAAAAGCGACTCAAGTGTTAGGAGAGAGAACCGGAGAGTTAACCCGATGCACAACTGTGGAACACTTTGTTGCGCTTACGAAGATCTGCTGGTGTTGATGTTTAACCTTGAAGGTGCATTTCTTCAAGTTGCTATTGCCATTATGAGTGTGTGCACTGGTTCAGTGGTGGTGGTGTGTTGCACTCACACTGTTCGACGCACCACAAACCAACACACCCCGGCTCCCTTCACTTAGGTGCTACGGAAACACAAGGTCTTTGGGATGTTATCATAGCTGTCGTACAGGGCTCTGTGTACGCGCACAGCGTGTCTCGTGGCAGGTGATCTTATATTGTTGTGCCAATGTACCCCATTGTGTGTGTGTTGATGTATAATTGATGGCCCGCATGTATAGTGAAGGTATGCGAGTTCATGTTCTTTGTAGCATCATAACTGTGCTCAGTGGCCAAGCTGCTTCCGTATGTAATGCAGTAAATACTTTGGCCGTCTAATTCACATTAATCCTAGTTTGTGTTACTCTATTAGCCATGACATCTTTAATTCAGTTAGGTAGAGGACATGCGCTTTATACATCATCTTGATGAAGTTTTGTCTGTTTAGGACCAGGAAGCATATATAACAAATGTTGCACAAATCCTACAGCTGTGTTACAGGGTCCTTTTAACTAGTTGACCTAGTAACTAGGTTTGGTTCACCCCCCCTGGACTTGCCACCACATCCCGAGGCAACCAGAGGCAAGCCAGGGCGACGTCTCAGTAGGCTTTAGTTTATACCTTGCTCTGCAAGGTTTCAACGTAAATACAAACTTGCAACATGAATGATGGAATCTTATTTGATGTTCAGACAGTAAATGAGTTGTAGTTTTACTAGAGCTCCCATGTGGGGGGGGGGTTTAGGGTGATGACACACTTAAGCAACTAAGAAAAATTCTAGTTTAAGGTGATGTGAATGACATACAATGACCGAGTATGGATTAGTACACCTGTACTGGATGCCAGTGAGCAGGGGACCATCACCAACCTGACAAATGAACACGTCAGTGCAGTACCAAGTGGTCAGCAGAGTTTAACTGAGCTACAGGCATCAGTCAGTGCCATGGATCTTCAAGGCAAAGAACCTTGAGTTTGCGAGATCCATCTGAGATCCATACTGTGAAAAGCGGCAGTTTTTTTTATCTTTATTTAATAGCCTCTCTGGCAAGTGATGAGCTGAGCACGGTGTTTCCCTAGCCCGACTGGGGAACCTCTGTAACCAACCACCCTATTAATGGACACAATTGCCCTGGCTGGCGGTATTTTGAAGAAGGTAGACAATATTTACGCTCTCATTAACTTGAAATGATCACAGTAGCATCCAAGTGGCCGAGTGAGTAGGAATGACGACAGAGCCATGACGACAGGCAGAAACTATTGTACTCTTGTATGATCAGAACTTGACCGTTGAACTTGACCATCACATGACAGGTCATATCCCGAATGATAGTTGTACAGTATACTTCAGATACGGCCACTGACCACCTGGGCAGTGATTCACCCGGCGCGCGAACTGAGGAGAGTCGAGATTTCTCATACAACGGAGAAAACAAAGTGAGAATAGCAAAGCATAACGAAGTACGTGAAATAGGAAGAATACGGAGAACACGTTCAGCACACACACACTAAAGCATTTATTTTGCTGGAACGGTCAAAGTACTCATAATGTGCTCTGGAAAGGAGACGTGAAAGATATTATACCACACAGATATACACATGGATGATACTGAAGGGTCAGGTCCCAAATATGCACAATTCAATAATAAACTCGGTGAACAGTTGGAATGCTATAGGTACTATCAGAGAACATTTCATGAACATTAAAAGGCCTGCGGCTCGCCAGTCTTACACAAATATAAGAAATGTTGCCG